ATATATATAACAATAAATAATATTATATAAATAAATGTCAAATAGTTTGGGTACACTGACTCTTAAATCATTATTTATTTTCCAACCATGATGGACGCGAAGTCGAAGTTGGTGGGAAACTTAACGGCTGTGGGCCCCATACGAACGGCAACAGTGAGCGGCCGTCTACGCATCCCACCTTCCGATGAATGACGCGTGTTAGCTACCGACCGGCACCGGTTCGCTGATTCGGTCTCCAATGCTCTCGAGACGGGTCAGATTTCGGGTGAATTAGGTGACCCGATAAGGATTTAAAACCAATTGTATCTGGTGGGCACTGTAGCGAGGAAAAATATAAATATATTTATTTTTTATTTAGGTTGAATTCTGATTTATTTGGGAACACAACCCAATGAATTAGAAGTGCAAGTGAGTCAAGCCGACTGTGAGCCGGCTCAAGCTCGGCCCGATAAATGGCTCATAAGCTGAGATCAATGAGCTAACAAGCCAAGCTAAAGTTTGCCCTGATTCGAATCATTAGCTCGTGAACGTGCTCGTTTAAAAACATATTAAAATAAAATATAGTCAAAATATATTAAATTTCAAAATTTTATCCTTATAGCATTGAAAATATTGAGAAAATAATATTTTATTGTATATTAATTTATTACTTATTATTTATCTCTTAATTGTTCATTCTCCTTTTCAAATTATTATAATTTTTTAAAAAAAAATTAATATCATTTCCCCTCTTTTATATTAAACAAGTTGGCTTGCGAGCCGGTTCAAACTTATAGTTTTAAGCTCGAGATCGAGATAGAAAAATTAATCAAGCTCAAGCTCTAGTCGAGGGCGGCTCGAGCTCGGCTCAACTCGTTTATACCCCTACAATGAATAGAGCATAAATAATGAGAGAGACATAGAGATGGAGCGAAATAGTGAATAATAAATTGTATCAATCTTGTTTAGTTTCACTTATTGGCTCAAATTGGGTGTATCTGTCTTTCTTCATGCATAAAATGATTTTTCTATTTATAGGAAATGAAGTACAATATGTTAATGTTGTGTTTTTTCTTTTGTTTTTAATGAAAACTGTACGGGGTATTCAATGGGGAGTTTCTAGATACATTTGGTATGATTAGAGATGCCAAGGAACTAGATCTTTTCTCGAGTTAGCTTCTTCATGTTGATTAGCTTGGATGTCCCTTTGTCTCATTTCCAACCAAACTACAAATATTCAGGTCATTCGAACATTTATCGGGACTCAATCAACTTAGGCTTAGTTGATGTGGTTCGAACGACTATATTTGGTCAGATAAGTGGGTCTTATGATCTTCTGCCAGCAAGCCCTCATTCAATGTATTATTTTCCAGTGGATCATTAGTTCTCTTCAGAATTAGCTTTCCCACATTTTCTATTGTACATTTCATGTAAGTTAAATGTATAATTATTTATTACATTTAAATTATTGATTAAAATGTGCTTCAAATTTGAATTTTATAGTAAAAAAAAAAAAAAAAAAGATTATCTGTCAACTCCTCAGATTTTTCAAGTATCAAATGAGATTGATGCCCATGAACTTGTAAATTTTTAAATTTTAATAAATAAAAAAACAACAATTTGTGAGAGGGATAAAACTGACTTTAACAAATCAAACATCAATCCAAAATTGCTATAACCAAGAAGAAAATAATGTAAGAAAAAAATTGGTTTTAGATTGGATTCCAACAGGAGAAAAAAGCTTGAAATTTCGATCTTGCTCCATTTGGTTATATATAATTCGATGTGAACGAATAATTCCTAGTCAATAGAATATGCTAATATAACTCTAAAGAATATCAATATATTGTTATGAAATAATTTTTTTTATAATTGTGAAATTAAAAAATAGTGCATGCCAAGTATCACGCTTGTCGTGTTATGAAATTTGCAATGTAAGTTAATAAATAACAAAATTATATATAACTGTGACATTCTATCCTGAAAACGAAGGAAATGGTCGCTGTGGAGAATTCAGTCAGGGAAAAGGAAAAGTTCGGGTAGAGCAAATATGTCTAACACCTTGCGTATTCACTTATTGAAGGAAGTCAGTGAGAAAGTCTAACGCTTCGCACCTTTACTATGAAATTCAGGACACGAACAGAGAGCAGAGCGGAAAACCTTTTTTCTCGGCATTATGTGTGAGAGAGGGCCCCTTCAACGAACCAATCACTGTGGTGGCAAATTTAGGCACGACTTCAAGGAACGGTCAATTCAATGTCCTACCCTAAGGAAAGCAGGAAGGGGAGGTGTCTGATGTGACATATATATATATATATACCGTGACTCTTTAGTTGACAACTATGTTGTCAGTCGTGAGTCCCCTAATGTAAGAGGTTCGAGCCAGCCTGAGTGTATTTATCTTGCAACGTGAGATCAAGTGATTAGACACATTAAAGATGGTTGGGGGCTTGGATCATAGCTTTCGACCATTCTTTTTTAATATAAATAGACACACACATTAAATGAGTTTTCAGAAAAGAAAAAAAAATGCACGGAAGAAAAATTACTAAAAATATACATTAAAAATAAGAGCAAAAGTGAAAAAGAGAAAAGTAAAAACTTATCTTAGCATCCAATCTATATTATTACACATGTTAAATATTTATTATAAATCACTGTGGTATTTATTATTAATATGATATAAATATATTCTTGAGCATATTTTTATTTTATTTTTCTTTATTATTATTTTTATTACCTATATATAATCCTTAATTTAATCAAATCTACACCATATCTCAGATTTGTTCCAACCCCTCTATACAACTTCTCGGAGCGAAATTTTTAAAATAGCATGTTTAAAATAAAACTTTTTAAATCAACACACAAAAAAAAAAAAAAAATTAATCAACAGTCATCACATCAGCGGAGTTAGAAATGCAAATGCATGGTAATTCTTTTGATATGATAAGAGAGATTTGGGTGCTATAAATGTAAAAAGTAAAAAATGTTGGTGTTAGATATGTAAATGCATAAGAATTGGCACTGTAATTTATGCAAAAAAATGCAATACTGAGCTTATAATTGTGGACTTCAGTATACATATTCAAGACATGATATTGCAAAAGAAGCAATCGTTTACTGAAAGAAACTCTAAAATGTTATGAACATAAGGCAAAAATAATAGTTCTGTATAGAAACAAGCATAAACTAAAGCTTGTTTTTTTATTCTCAAACACAAATTTCTTCCACGAATAACAATGTGCATGTCAGCTTTGCATAAAAGTCATGCTCTACAATTGCTGCAAAAGCAGGTTCTTTTCATTCTCCAAGGGGATTCCTGAAGCCACGTCCAAAGAAAGGTTTCCAGAGAATATAGCTTCACCATTAAATCAAAAATATGTTGGGTGAGTTTTGCAAATGTGAATTGACTGCTATGTAAAACAATCTTGATAACAACTATGTCGTACTACACCGAAGTAATTGTAAAGAATGAAATCTGAAACCAACGGCTTCGTCTTGCATGTAGGGATAAAAATTGTAAAAGTTACTACTAAATCAGAAAAAAAAAAAAGGAAACATGTGATGATAAAGATATTACAAAACTAGTGTCCACAACGTTTTTGTTGAATTACTGCATTTGTTTTTGGGGTGTAAGGTTGAGGCGCGCGAACTGACCTATCTTTCAAATGATATTCACGATCATAGTTCTTTGACAGTTGTGCCTCTATCATCTCATGAATTGTGATTGTTGTTGTGAAGTTGGCGCAGACATCAAAAAATGCCCAAAATATGGTAATCTAAATGGGATGGTGGCTCCACCCATCCAGAATGAGGGTGTGGTCTAGTAATGTAGCTGTGTAAATTGTGTATGCTGTTGTGGCAGGCGCCACGGTGTGTTGTTGGATGCATGCTCGTCATACGATCTGTTGAATTGCGGATAGTTGATGAACTTGGACCAACTGGAACAGATGGTGCTACACTTACAACTGCTAGTGGGTATAATGTGTCTAAGGTGGATGGGTGCTCCGCAACATTTTCGGTGTCATGACGATCATCTGTAATATACATGGTCCTGCAAACCTCTCTGCATAAGCCCTCAAATGCATCAATTAGATGATACAAGCTGTAGCAACTCATCAAATTTCAAAATATTAGATAACAGTCATAGCTTAAAAATGCTTATAACATTAAATTAATTACCAAAACTCTCTCTCGTGATGCTTTTAGATAATATGATTTTGGAGCTTTGGATGGAGCTTGTAGCAAGTATGAGGAAGCCCAAGATCTATACAACACATGTATTCTCTACGTGCTTAATCCTCGTCGATATCAGCATTGTCACTTTGGACAATTAAGCCATATTTGTTTTCCCATATTTGTATGTAACGCTGATGGTACACAGCCCAATCCATATCTGTATTTCCTCTACCATCTACTCGTGTGAATTTAGGCTCCATTGGTTCCATGAGAATGCCCTGCACACCCCCAAATTGCCTCATGACTCAATCAGGTAAATTCAACTCAACTCTCCTCAAGGAGATTAACGGAACGTGGAATAGTCAGATAACTTGCCTTGTCATGCATTTATCAGCCACACGTGCCAATATCTCTACAATGTAGGGCTCCCATGTTACCTAATTATTAAACCCACATCGATTAAGCCCATTACTTGTTAGCAAGAATATATTAAATTTGCATTATTCATTGCACAAACCTGACTTTCTAGCAACTCGTCAATCTCATGCCTATAAAGTCATATGATCGATGCAGAAATTTCCCAAACATGTAGCTCATTCCATCTGTAATTTGATACATCGTTAGCTTTACAAAAATCGTTTCAAATTAAAAACCAATCAATACGTACCTGAACCCTAACTCTTTCCGTCCAAAGTTTGAGGATATGGCACATGAAGTGTCGGTCGGCCTACATGCAAATGTTCCCCACTCCATACCTGCAGTAGAGTAAGAAACTCAGCCATATTAACTCGCCTGGGTTTCGTTGCAAGTTTCAGATCTCGATATAGGTGGGCCAGTACTGCACTGCCCAGTGAGTAATTTCCAAAAATCTTATAAATTTTCCATTGTTGACAAGTGCTGCTAACGAACCTCGCAACCTGAGGTAATGGACAGTAAAAACAACCAAGCATGAATAATGCATATGCATGAATATGCCTCTTAAAGGCAATTTCATCTAAGTCTATATAAGATTCAAGATAGAACATCTATATTAAACATCTTAGAGGCATGCAAGTACATCGCTTTGCTTGACCCACCCGAAATGTCTATGATCGCCTCATTAGTGGGGTAATGAAAGACAACAATATCTTTCATCGGATGGGCACCAAGAGGTTCTTCAGATTAATCAGGACATGAAGCCCATCTACACCCACTCCAACCACATTTCGCCCAATCAAAGAAGGTCCGTCAATGCGGAGGCCAAGTAACACACCAATATCCTGTAGAGTAATGGTCATCTCGCCCACGAGAAGAAGAAAAGTATTTGTATCAAGTGACCATCTCTTCACAAGGGCAGTAAGCAGATAATGATCTAATTTTATGTAATGGAGATGCCTAATACAGTTAATCCCACCTGTTGAAGCCCCTCTATGAATCAAGGAAATGTCATCAGCCACTCTTTAGTCATCTTTTGTCTCTTTTATTATTGTCTAATTTTGGCTGTTGATTTTTTATTGTTGGTTGTTGGTTGTTTGTTGTTAGTTGTTGGTTGTTAGATTACTTGCATGTTCGATGCTGGTTGTTGACTCAATTCGCACAATACAATGTCATTTAAATAGCGTTCATCTGTAAATTAAGTCAAATGATGAAAAAAAAATTCCATTTATTAAAATGCACTTTATTTTTTTTTCACTTTTCAGTTACTAATACAGATCTGAACATAAACACCTCCAATTTTTTAGATAATAATAAAATTGTTGCAAGAGAATTTTTTATTGGAAGTTGTAGCTAAAACACTTATTGCTATTTAAATTTTTTGTTAGAGATTTGTCTATCAATTAGAGAAGTAAATTATGATTTTGGCTAAGCTTTTGTGATGTTGTTTGTATTCAAATGACCTAAATACTCTTATTCTTAGCTCTTTAATATAATTTTTATCCTTGAGAAAACACGCACAACAATTATCTCTGAGTACAACACAATTTCTCTTTGTAATGCATTTACATACATAACACTTAATTCTTATGTATATACATATCTAACACCTAAACTTTGTTTTTACATTTATACCGCCCAAATCTTTCATATCACGTCAAAAATATCATCATTTTAACTTTAAAAAAAATGAAATCCACCTTTTCATGCATGGGTAAGGTGGTCTTGTATGTTTGTAAGAATTGAAGTTTAGGTGTTAGGTATGTAAATTCATAAGAATTGAGTGGTATGTAAACATTACATAAATTAATTGCTAAATTGGGGGCTAGCTACTTGAAGCCAATTACCTCTCATTTATCCATCCAACTCAAGTTAGTTTCATCAAAGATAATTTGATCTCTAGCAATAATATTATCGTTAGGGGAACCCTCAAATGTTTCTATTTTAACTCACTATAGCACTGTGGTGCTCAAGTTGATACGGCATAGTCCATTGATAGCTTTAATTATACATAAAGGCTTATTCACCAGGCTAACCCTAAGAAATTTTTTTAAATGGACTAATTGTTATATTTGTTGGTTGTTGATTGTTGTTTGTTGGTTGTCGGTGTTGGATGTTGGTTGTTGGATCACTGGTTGTTAGTTGTTGGCTATTGTGCAACTTTTTTTGTTTTGACTATAACACATTAACTATGAATTAATCGTTGTTTCTGATAAATAATTTATGGATAACAAACCTTTAAAATATTTGCATTCAAGTATAAAATAGAGTTCGAAATTTAAGATTATGTTGACTTTTTGTTTCAGTTTTCATTGCTATTATCTATAATTTTTTATTTCCTTATTATATTAAATTTGTTGATTTGTTCAGGTATTTATTGATCTTTCCCTTTTAGTGAGGTATTTTAGTTGAGCAATGATATTTTCCAATATTTTCATTAAAATTTAATCATAATTATAAGTGTTGTTGTTGTTTTAGAGGTTTCGGTTGTTTTGGGTGTTATCTCACAACATTGGGCCTTTGGGTGTTGGTTGGTGGTTGTGGACTGAGATCTATTGATATTGATGTATTGGTCATTTGGTTGTTGGCTAAGCCCTATCGTGCAGTTTTTTTTTTTTTTAACTGTAAGCTCTTAGCTGTGAATTAATTGTTAACACTGATAAATAATATATAAATTACGTACCTTTAAAACATTTACATTCATATACAATAATAGAGTTTGAAATTGGAGATTAGATTGGTTTTCTGTTTCAGTTTTATTACCATTATCCTTAGTTTTTTTATTTCTTTATTATATCAGATTTGTTGATATGTACAGCTATTTCTTGCTCTTTCCCTTTTGGTGGGATATTTTGATTGAGTAATGATATTTTTCAATCTTTTCACTAAAATTCAATCATACATATAAATATTTGATGACAAATATTTATAGCATTTAGATGAGATTTTAATGTACTTTCATTAAGTAAGTTATGAACTCAATTTCATTTTCATTTTATTGTTTCTCGTTTCTCCTTTTGTGTCTTTTTTATGGTTGTCCTATTTTGGCTGTTGGTTGTTGGATCACTTGTTGTTGGCTAATAGTAGTTGTCTTGCAGTTATAAGATTTTTACTTGTAAGGTAGCATGCATACCACTCACTTTTCTCTTATGTTTTTTTTTTTTTTTCATGGCCTAATTAGTTTTTTCTTTTGTTTTTTTTTTTTTGTTTTTATTTACAGTTCCATTAAAGCTATGATCAAATGAAATTTGGAGGAGTGGAAATTGAGTGTTGGAACTTGGAACTTGGAATTTGAGATCTAAATAAAATGTTGAGTGTATTTTTCTTAATTGTAATGCATTTGTAAATTGTTGATTTATTACTTAATTGTTTATAATAATAATTTATAGTTTTTTAAAAATTTGAATTTAGAACTTCAAATGTATATTTCGCTTATGACTTGTTATTAACAATTTGTAATAATATAGTTGAAATAATTTTTTTATATATAAGGGTTTTTTTAAAAAAAATTTAATAATAAATAATTAAATTTATTATCATTTTTTTAACTCATTTCAAATCGAATTCAAACGGAACACGAACAAACCAAACAAAGGGAACAATAAAAAAATTTGAACATTTCAAACATTTTTAGCAATGTGAATTAATAAATTGAACCAAACACGAATAGTAATTTCACGAACGATTTCGAACACGAGCCCATTTCAAACACATATAATTTTAAACAAACCGAGCACGAACATGAACTATGTTCGTTTACAGCCTTAAATACAATTGCAGTCACCTCATCATCGTCGACATTAGTTGTAAAAAAGATTTCATGGAGTGTGAAGCGACATACTATATTAAGACTATGCTTCGACAAATCCCATCTCAAGCCCGGAGAATCAAAGCTTTCAACTATGTAAACGAAGCATGCAGTGAAACTCGAATAAGTCCGTTTTTACACCAACATGTTTTGGCACAAGATCGTCAGATATGGTTAACTCTTCATCATAACGTAACATCAACTGAACATAAGCTTCACTCATTTTCTATTTGTGTTTCTGCATAAAATTAAAGAAGCTATGGAGAATATTAATTTTCTTTATGTTCATTATCTTCATTATTAATATCCACACACATAATTACATAAGAGAGAAGCGAACAGCATCAAACTACAACATAGTTACATCAGGAAAAACCATAACCACCCGCAATTTCTTATGCATCTATTCATCAAATAATGGTGCACTGAATTTTGCATCTAACACCTAAATTTAGTTCCCAATTGTTGTTTGACTTAAAATCTCATCATTAGCATGCATACTGGCCAATTCCTATGTATTTACACATCCAAAAACTTCTTTTTTTCTTTGCATGTATGCCACCCAGAGATTTCATAGCACATAAAAAAATATCCCTATTTTAGCTTCTAAAAGGTAAAATACACCTTCTTATGCATGGGTAAGATGTTATGTAAATAAATGAGCACCACCGTGAAATAAGTCATATATAATCAACAAACTTTTAATCATTACATCTTTTACTTAGAAAAAATATGAGCTTTGGGATTAGCATAACCCCTCCAAACATTCAAGAGAAACAGGCACAATATTGAAGAAATCTGCATCAGGAAGTCTATTTTTTCTCAAAAATTTTTAGCCAACACTTAAACTCTATTTTTTAAACCTATTCTGCCGAAATATTTCATAACACAATGTATCTAACTTCTAAACTTTACTTTTTACCCCTATTCCACCGAAATATTTCATATGATACTATGTCTAACACCAAAACTTTACTGTTTATATTTATACCACCTGAAATTTGCATATCACCTACAAAATACAGAGTGCAATACACCTTCTCCGGCATGGATATGGCGGAATATATGTAAAAATTGAAGTTCAGGTGTTAGATATGTAAATACAAAGGAATGAAAAGGTACGTATGTAAATCTTCCAATGGGAATAAAGCTAAACTTGAATGAAGTTTATTTTATTCTCCTTTCTCCTACGCCGAGAGAAGAACATGGGAGTTTCAAAGCAGAAACGAAAGAAAAATAAGAAAAAATGAAAAAGGGCGTGCCGCACCTTTGTCGCGGGCAGCCTACTTGGCCGGGAGCCGGAGTATTCGCCGGGATGGCGCCGCTCTGATTTCCCTTGTAAAGTGGACCAAATTATGGTATACTAGGTTCACTTTAAATATGACGTCATTTTATTGGTCTCCGGCTCATTCGGAATACTGACATCATATTTTCTCCATCTAAAATGCTGAGTCAGCACATGAGTCTCCAACTCAACGGCAACTCAACATTGCTGGCAAACGAGTCACTGTTGAGTTGGCGATTTTGTCTTACTATGACGAACTTTGTCGTCATTTAATTGTCTCTCTCACAAGTTATTTTTAAAGAAAATTTATTTTCATTAATTTTTATTTTTCATAAGAGTCACACATTTTCAAACAGCAGATCATCCCTCATCTTAACATCCCATATTTTTCACCATAGCATTAGCTCAGCAATATTCCCCACTATTTACTCTTTCCAATTCAAGTAGAGAATCTTTCTCGTTGTCCTACTCTTTCGAGTTCAAATAGATAATTATATGTTAAGAATCTTTTATTTCCCGGTTGCTACATCTTCACCCCCAACAACTAGGCTGTAAATGAGTCGAGCTGGAGCAAACTCGGGCTAGTCTAATGTTTGGCTTGTTTGAAATTAATTATGTTTAAAATCTGCTCGTGTTCGGCTTGAAATTGACTTGTTTAAATCAAAGAGAAAAATAAATGTAGGTCGTGTTATTCGAGCCAACACCATTCCCATGCAATAAAAAGCACAAAATCACATGATCACACTAGATCTGGTGAATTCTGCACGTATATAAATATATATATAATATATTAATATATAAATAATCTCTATAATTTTCTCATTTTGAGCTAAAACGAGCCGAACACAATCAAACAAAATGACGGTTCGTGTTTGGCTATTTTATAGTTCAAGCTTAAAAAATTTGCCCGGGTTCAGTCATGTTTTTTAACAAACCATTCGAACAAAAGTTACTTAGCGAGTCGAATACAAATTATTCGCGACAAAAACTCTTTTAATAGCCTTACCTACAACTCATTTTTCTTTTCTTTTTTTTTTTTTGTTTGTGCTGGACAAATTCTTTTAAACCCAACAATCACAACCTCATATTCAATCGTACTTCATCTACAAAATTGATAGCCATCATTTGGCAACACCATCGACTCTCTCATATCGATGATTGAAGGACTGCAACCATCTCTACACCCTTCAATCAATAATACTTTGCAAGCTTTCACATGTAAGATCTTTTTGACAAGGCCGTCATCTTCTCACCAATCTCATGGTTTATCGCCTATCACTTTAAATAGTCCGCCTATCATCGACTAACACGCTCTTATTTATTATGTCATTAATAATTATTTTTTGTTCAAACTCAATTTGACATCTACCATATTAAGTTGGTGGGGGGATAACTTTTTTTAATATCATCAAACATGTGAAATGTTTATAATAGAAAATTATTAGATATATTATTATAATAAATATTGGATGTTGAGGGTTTTTTTTTTAAATTTTGTTTCTTTAAAGTTAATTTTCTTTTAAGCGTGTCATTTTGAGGCGAGAAACTCTCTCAAAAACACAAGCCATAGGCTTTTCTCATATGGACCACGGTCCATAAAGTTATTAGCTACCATGGACCAACCCTAATGGCTTTCTTAATTAGATTTTGTTCAATGACACCAAACGCCTCTATGTCCTTCAATCAATAATATTTTACTAGATTTCACATATGCAAACTATTTGATGGGGTCACAATCTTCTCACAAATTAGGTTATTCATTACATGATAAAAAATAAAAAATAGATAGCAATGTATTTAAGATAAAATGTAGTTGAATCTTGATGCGGTTATTTTTTTTTTCTTGTGTTTCATAATAAGTGTAATTGGGCAAATGTACATGCTATTTATTTTCTTAAAGAAATGTGTTGAATGTTACCTTTAATTCAAGAACTACGTACTTATTTAACTCCACAAATAAACTGATTTAAATTAGTCTAAATTTAAGTTTTTTTTGTTTGTCTAAAGTGCTCACTTGAGGAGGCATTTATGAGGGAAAGCGTGTGAGGTTCCTGATGAGGTTAAGGTATCGTGGGATTGTTGGTGTTTGATGAAGCTCGCCGAGGAATCTAATGAAAAGATTAATTGTGTGAAGAGAAGAGTTCATGAAGGTAGCTTATCAGTGAAGGCATCGAGGGACTAACAATGTGTGGCTGAGCTCATTAAGGAAGGTAATGGTTGGACTATAAGTCTGAAATGAGAAGAGGGGTTTGCAGATAAAGCTCACCAGGGAAGGTATGATTGGTCAGACAATATGCAAAGAACATCAGTATAGGAAAGGGATAGCAGGACAAGTGGAATTGAAAGGAGAAGATTCAAATCACTTTCAAACATTTGCTTGATGGCCTTCAATAAGAAATCCATGAATATAAGAGAGGGATGATAAATTTTGATAAATATCTTCAAGAAAATAAACAATTTGGATAGTTGTCTAATTAAGTATATTACAAGGAATATAAAATCAAAATTCTTAATGATTTTAAATTTAGATTTTTGAAAATGATCCTAAAAATTGAATATAATGATGAAGATAGCATGATCATACAATTCACCACAAAAAAAGGCAATGAATAAATAAAAATAATGTTGGAGTTATGATTTAAACTCATAAGCATAACTAAACTATTTCACCTCATAATATATTATAAATTAAATATTTTAGATGTAACTTGAGTTTACTTAATTTTAATCTTCTTTAAACCTTAAGCTCTCTTACTCTTTGGGTTCTTTGCTCAAATAGACTCAAAAGAGATTTTATTTGTTGTTTTGCTCCACTAAAAGACATGGGCTTAAACAAGGCGTGCTAAGCCCACATACATTTGTGTTAAAGGTTCAACCTTTAGAAAACACATTAGCTTACTCTTAAGAGAGTTTTTTTTGCAACTATGTATATTTTGAAACTTCACCTCAACTTTTTAAGAATTTATTTTTACCGCCACGACTTTACAATTGTCATTATAAAAAAATTACAATAACTCCCAAATGATTCATAATTTTCTTATTTTTCTTGACTTATCAAAATTTTATGTACTTCCTTGATGATACCAGAAGAGAAGATGAAGTACTAAGAAATTAAAATTACCTCGAGAAATTTAGAAAAATATCCATTTTATCATTTAAGAAGAAAAAAAATATGCAATAATAATCATAAAAGTTCAACAAATTTCATTATAGGAAACCCACGCGTTTTATTAGGTGATGATTTAAGAATACTAGGGATTCAACCATGACTAATTCTAGTATATGATTTGATTAATTACATGAATTAATAAAATTAATAGCCCTAAATGCCAAAGATCATAGGAAAATATTGATGATCGATATAATAGAAATTTGATTCCGTTACTTTGAGCCATATCACATTTTTCGAAAAATTATTGCATCAGGACTCCGCACGCAGAGTTAAGTGCGGAATCCAATGAAATCACGACTCGTGGAGGTATAGAAAAAAAAATAGGTATGGTAACACCGGAGAATATTTCCCGTGTTATTTCGTATTATTCAGGTGTTATTGTGTGTTATTCAAGTGTTATTGTGTTATGAGAATATTTACAGTGTTATAAGAACACAATAACACTTGAATAACACACAATAATACGAATATTCTCTTGTGTTACCGTGCATATTTTATTTTTTTCACTGTCACCGCCACATGGCGTGATTTCATTGGACTTCACACGTAACTCTACGTACGTGCGGAGTCCTGATGCAATGTTTTCTAAAATTAATATGATTTTTCGCGATATAAATTTAATTTAAATTTTTTTTTACAGTATTAATATTAATATTGTTGATTATGTGTAAAATTCATACAAAAGAATTTCATATTGCAAGAACAACTTTTTAAAAAGAGATGGTAGAACTATTGTTGAAAAGATAGTTATCTTTACTAGTTGTGTATATTACAAATATATCTAAACAAAGCTCCAATAACATACTTTTCATAGCAATCGCGCTCAACTTGGTTTTTTTAAAGCACTAAAAAAGGGAGATTTGCATATAAACCCAGCCAATTTTATGTATTTATATATTTAATATCTAAAGTTTAATAGCCACTCATTTACACTTAAATCTCTAAATCATATAAAAAAAAGTTAACTAATATTAACTTTTAAAGTAAAATGAATATTTACATACATATATTTTGGTGTGGTTATTACGCTAAAGTGTTATATATACATGAAATGATGAAAATATCAAATTTGAAGTGTAAACAACATTTTTTTTCTCTAAAGATAGACGATAACATGTGTCTGTCCAGCCCATATGTGTTAATTCGATCAAGATGGATTCGAATCCGGGACAAAGGAGACTTACGCTGAAACTGCCAACCAACATGCCACCATTTAAAATACATAAATATTGTGTGATATCTACGTAAATCCCTCCCAAAAAATAGTCACTTATAGCAAATAAACACTAATTAAAAAAAATTTGTCACGAATGAAAAAGTTGTTACATACATATATAACAACACAATTCTTTTGCATTTATATATCTAACCCCCAATTTTTAATATTTATATACCTAACACTTAGATGTTTAATATCACCTTAAAAATATGATTATCACCTAGATTAAAAAAGTTAAATATATCTTTCCATGCACATTTTTTTCGTGCTAAAATGTAAAATTGAAATTTAGAAATTAAACACGTGATTATCAAAAAATTATATGGCATGTTCCCTAAAGAAAAATATTCCCATTGAAGCAACCAAACTCAATCAACATTCACATAATATCATAAAATAAATATCTGAAAAATAGAAGGAAAAAAAAAAACAATTTCCATTAAAGTTCAAGTTTTTAATTAAAAGTTAAGCTGAAAAAAGAAACCAAACAAAAGTTATTAACAAACACTAAAAATAGGTCTAACTTTTGCTTTTGAATTGAACAATGTGAAGAATCGCACTAATCCGATATTTCGGGCTTTAGTAACTATCGATTAACCGTTTTGCTGATTATGAGCCTTCAAATTTAACCTTAAAAGAGGTTTCCTCACAAAAACTTTA